TACCTTACAAGCAATAATAAAGATTAAGGCTTAGTTTGCAAAGCAGTAAAATGAATTCTAGAAAATAAGTTATTTTTCAGAAAATATTTTCCTTTCTGGTGTTTGGTTACACAACGGAAAACTATCTTTGTACGTGTGTTTAGTTCATTTTCCAGAAAATGAGTAGGAAAATGAAAAGAATGGAATACTTTAAAATTTTAATTGTTTGATATTTTTGATAAAATTCTTTTGTGAATAGCACTCTTTTGATATATATATATATATATATATATATATATATATATATATATATATATATATATATATATATATATATATATACTAGTTTTTTTACGCGCTTTGCGCGAATAGGATAATGCCCAATGATTATTTTTAAATAAGTATTTCAAAATATATCAATGCAATATTATATAGGAGATGTTTATGCATAGGTAAATAAATGTTCAATTTGTTTATTTAAATCGGTAATTTAAAGTATAGAAATTCAAGATAATATATGAGAGATTGATTATAATTGTCACTAAAATAAATGTTTGCAACTTTGTAATAACGCTAGTCTAAATACTTAATCTTAAAGCGATAGTCTAAATAAATACTACTTTTGGTTTGAATTTCTCTAATTCTTCTTAATTCTGTTTTGGGTAGCATTGTCATTGTTTTCATCTTCAGTACATGTCCTCTTTTTTTTTTTTTATTATTGGTAGTGTGTTATATGCAATTAGGTTACTGGTGACAGCATAGAGGGATTCATCATGATGAGATTATGGTGTAGGAAGCTTTAGATTTTCCTTGCTATGTATATGACTGAGATTTTAGTTAGAATATGAACTCTTTATCTTAGAAACACCTATTGATATTTAGTACTTGTAGTTTTTCCCTACATGTTTCATGTGTTGTGAGATGTGGGTCATTGGTTATCATGTGAAAGTATTGAACAAAATATTAATATTTATTATATTTGTATAAAATACTTGGTAAATAAATGTATATAACATGTTTTGTATTATAACTTTGATTTAATTAGAAGATAATGTAAAAAGAAGACAATTGACAATGTAATGAATATAATAAATTAATAAATTTGAAGGTAAGGAATCTTTTAATTGTAGAAAATAAAGATAATATAACTAATGAAATTATATTTCTTTTAAATTTTTTAATAATGAATAATTTTTTCAAATAAAGCATTAGACATCTAATTCTAAATTAATTAAATATATATGTATTATTTTTTGTTGTAACTACTAATTTATTTAATTTAATAAAAGTAATAAAGTGCCGTACATACTTTTCATCAGCAATAATGAAATCAATGATTTTTTTTTTAATTTTCATTCCTTGTTGAGACAAATTGTTTTGAGAGTGTATCAATGACAATTGCTATAATTGTTGTCAATAGAGGATGATCATAAATAATTCAAAATAGATGATTACAATAGATATTGTTATAATGATATAGTAAAAATTAACTTACAAATTTCTTTAGAAGTTTTCATGCATTGATAACATTCTTATGTGTAAACTTGTTCAATTGGAGCTAGTAGGATGTTAACATTGTCAATTATTTAAGAAATGGTCCTACCGTTTTAGAGTCCATGTGTAATTGTATTTATGATCAACAACTTTGTAGTTAGGCTGCGCGGATCTGACAATGATGTAAGAACAATTTTGTCCGATAAAAAAAATAATAATATAATATTTGTAAAGTAATGTACAATTTTACCATTATAAAAAAAAAACAAAAAATATTAATACCATAATGACCTAAATCATTCCAATAATACAAAAGCATAATTGAGATATTAAGTTTTGTTCTAAATAATCAAAAGAAGATTAATTAAACGTTAAAAAAAAAACAAACAAACAAACAAAAAAACAAAAAAAAAATCTAAATTTATTTTTTTTAAACAAAAAAAAAATCCAAGAAAATCAAATGATTTTTAAAGTTCCCGATTTATAATCTTTGATACTCAACTTTGAATGCTATGTATTTTTTTTATATCTAACTGGAAGGGGGAGACCCGAGAATACAATTACATAGATTCGCTGGTGTTGCGCCACAAAGGGGCTTCAACTAAATCATCATCTAAGATTTCTTTGATTGAGTCTGGAGGAAGAGGTAGCATGTGGAGTCCATCTCCGAATTGCCGCGAGAGTTTCGATAATGCATCTGCCACCAAATTTTGTTCCCGGTTGATGTGTGATACCTGCCAGTATTCAAACATTCGTAGCTCTTTCCTACATGCCAATAGGATATTATGTGCTGCAATACGGGGAGGTCTATCACTGATAAGGAACTCAACTGCTTTGTCCGAGTCACTTTCAAATAAAATTCGTCTGAAACCCAAAGCTGCTGTCAATTGAATTCCTTTGAGTAGAGCCCAGGTTTCAGCTTCAAACGGAGTGCAGTTTGCTATAGTAGCCACAAATCCATGCTTCCATTCTCCCACGCTATCTCTTATGACACCCCCACATCCTGCAGAGTAGGATGCTGGGATTACCGACCCATCCGTATTTACCTTGACCAGGTTGTCAGGGGGTTTAGTCCAGCATAATTTCCTCCATTCCAGAGAGTTTCCGGTGGGTTTAAATCCCTTGGCTCTATCAAATGCACTGGTTACCTCATTTATCTGGGCCTTTATATAGGCGATCTTAGATTCAATCGGGAAAACTTTTCCGTTAAAGATAGCATCATTGCGCCATTTCCAAATCCACCATGCCGTGATCGCAAAGACGGTACTGTTATGGCAGGGATAGTTGTTGTTCCGGTTCGCTGTGATTCCCTCATCTATCCATATAATAAACTGGTTGTTTCTAAGTTTCTCGTGGAAAAAAGGCAGCAACGCTAACCAGACTTCTTCTGCCGCGGGGCAGAATCTCATGACATGGTTTGAATCCTCAATGTTATCCTCACACAGCCAACACTTATCGTTGGTAGAAATCACACGTCTGGATCTATTTAGATTGGTCATGATTTTATCATGCCTTAAGAGCCAAAGAAAGTGGCGAATCCGGTTAGGTACCTTAAGTTTCCAAATGCTATTCCACTTTGAAGCCTCCAAAGATTCTGTTTCATCTACAGCAATGCTATACGCAGAGTTGACGGTGAAGGTTCCACTCGGTTCTGGTCCCCAGCCAATTAAGTCCGGGGCTTCTGGTTCCTCGCAGAGCATAAATGTAGCTAATTTTCTGAGGATAGGGGTGGGTAGGAGATGATTCACCTGATCCCATTTCCAGCCTTCATTTGTACTCCAATAACTGGATACCGTCCTTCTTAGTTCAGTCGGGGTCAGCTCAGTTGACAATTCATAAAGAGGACTGTCTAGTAGCCATTTGTCCATCCAAAACAACGTATTTGAACCGTTTCTTACCAATCGTTTGATGCCAGATTGGATTATTGGAAGAGCCTTGACTATTCCCCTCCAAGCATTTGAATTGATACTTTTAAGCTGCCACGAACCCCAGTCAGAAGGTTTAATTCCGTATTTTGCCTTGAACAGCTTGACCCAGGGGCAATCCTCGTCTTGAATTATTCTCCATCCAAGCTTGGCTAAAAATGCCAGATTCATATGTTTAAGGCTCCGTATGCCCAGACCTCCATTGGATTTGTTACGCGTAATGGTTTCCCAGTTGATGAGATGACATTTTCTTGCCTCGGCTGTACTCCCCCAAAGGAAATCTCTGATTAGCCTTTCTAAGGTGGATATAACTCCCGCTGGAATCAGCATAGTTTGCATAGTGAAGAATGGGAATGCTGTTAAGACCGACTGAATCAGGATATGACGACCAGCTAGCGAGAGAGATCTTGATTTCCAGCCAGCAAGTCTAGTTTGTACCTTGTCTAGGATTTCAGAAAAAGTTTCATTCTTCACTCTCCCATGTATTGAGGGGACACCCAGATATCTACCCATATCCATCACACTTGGGAAGCCCAGTATGTTTAGGATATCCTGCTGCTGGGTCAATGGTGTGTTTCCGGAGAAGAATACTGATGATTTTTGGGTGCTGACCTTCTGTCCTGAAGCTAAGCAGAATAAGTCTATACAGGCCTTCATCTCTAGTGCTTGAGGGGCTGTTTCCTCGCCAAAGAAGATAAGATCATCTGCAAAAAAGAGGTGCGTCATGTTAGGAGCATGTCTATTAAGCTTGATACCTTTCTAACGTCCACGTGCTACTGAATCCTCTATTATATGGCTAAGTCTCTCAATACATAGTACAAAGAGTAAGGGTGATATTGGGTCTCCCTGAATGCTATGTATTTAGTCGGGCTAATTATATGACCAAAGTTTATGTTAAATTTTATATTATATATTTTTAATACATTTTAACGTATTCATAATATATGTTTAACAATTATGCCAACTCTAATTGGATGGGGTTCGAACCTAAGACCTTTCTTATATAAATTAATGAGTATGTTAAGAATAATAAATAGTTAACGGAATATTCCGTTACTAAAGTTTATACTAACGGAATTTAGGGTTATTTAAAGGAATCTATCTAACTCTATAATAAAGCAAGAAGTTTTGCCAATCATTGTTTCCCGCCCAATGAAAACGACACAGTTTTGCTTTAGTCCTGATTCGCGATTTAATTGCTTATTTATTTTCCGCGTGTAATGTGATTCCCCATTGGGAATATGCCTAGCCGTTCTTATTATTATACAATCCTTGGTTCCCAAGGAGTTCAATTAATGTAGAACTCTTTGGTATTGTAAACAAGATGATTACTATTAATATCAACAAAGCATAATGAACTGATCCGGCCTACAAGAAAGAATTATATATATTACATAGATTACATAGATTACATAGAATATGCAGAGTTGCAATATTCAAATTCACATTAATTGAGATGTGCGATTTCCAAAACATTGGCTCCTGGTATCTTCGTTTTTTGAATTTTCAATATGTATAAATACCGGGCTTCTTCATGCCAAAACACTTCACAAATTCATATCACTTTACTACCTTTTCGAAAGCATTTTTTGGTGTTTCAACATGCCTTCCATGTTCATTGCTGTCAAAAACATTAAGCCGGAACACCAGCTCCGGGCAATCAGAGTGAGAGCAGTACGTGTCTATGAAGTTCCTGAGAAAAGGGGAGAGGGGCAGGCCAGTAAGAGCATGGAAGTATTGTTCCATGATGAAGAGGTACTTTTATCTATTTGCCAATCTGATTTTATCTACTAATCTAATGGTCTTTCAATTAAGCTACTTTCATGCCATGTTATCTAATAATCTTAGTGTGTTTTGCTGTCTATAATTGTTTTTCTATTGTATTCGCAGGGAGACTACATTCATGCGAGTATAATCAAAAAAGACATTGGAAAGTATAGAGATACAATCAAGGAAGAGAAAGTTTTTGAAATCAAGAACTTCATGGCTTCTACAAACTACTATGTCTACAAGATTACAGAACATGGTTTCATGCTCAAATTTAACTACAGAACACAAGTGAAGGAAATACATTCTAATGGCTTTCCTTGCAAAATGTTTAGACTAAAGAGTTTTTTGGCTTTGAAAGATCATGATGATGTGAATGACAAGGAACTGATTGGTACTAACTTTACCTTTCCTAACTGCTAATATCTTTTTTATTATACTTTTAGTACTTCTTGCTAATATTTTGTTCATTTTGCAGATGTTATTGGAAGGGTAATTGAGATTTACAATCCTGTGGACAAGATTATAGGGGGAAAGGCCACCAAACTAATCGACTTTCAAATTGAAGACAATGCGTAAGTTTTTGAAAATGAACTTTGATTACATTAGAAAATGATGCAGTCTTATTTTTTTTTTAATACTTTTCTGTTTTTTCTGTTTCTAATCCAGTGAGAACACCATGATGTGTACACTCTGGAATGAACATGTATCTTCCCTTATGCCTTTTTACAATAGTGATTCGAAAGAACCACTGATTGTTGTCATTCAATGCTGTAGGGCTAAAGTTGTGGGTGGTGAGTTTCTCTACTGTTTTCTGTCATCTTCTATTTTCTAAAAACATAGTATCTATAAATAAGTGCATCTATTTGTATAATTTTTTTTAGGTGAAGTGAGAATAACCAGTTCGTATGATGCTACGAAGCTTTGGTTCAATGAGGATTTTGAAGAATTTCAAGAGTTTAAGTCAAAGTAAGTTTATGTTTTATATTTCTCCTATTTTGTTATTTATCTTTATTAATGTAGGCTCTACTCTGTAGTTATGACTTTAGACAATCTATATATATATTTTTTAACATCTATGTACTGGATTCCAACAAAAAAAAAAAAAAAAAAAAAAAAAAAAAAAAAAAAAAAAAAACAGTGTACTCTGTATATATATTGAAGTATCATGTTGTACAGTGTATGCATTTCTTTAACTTTAGTAAACTACCACTCAAAAAAAAAAGATAGCTATTTTAATCCAGTACACAGTATTGTTGTTAGGTTGTTAAAATACATATGTAAAAAAGTTTATAATATTTTTGTAGGTTGAAAGCTGAGGGTACTCCAATGAGAAGTTTTAGTACTGGCACACTACATTCAAACTCTACAGGCATTAGTGAGTTTAATAATGCTTCTGTTATTGTAACTAACTGTCATGATATTAAGAAGGTTAAAGAGGTAATCCACACACTAAGCTAGCAACTCTTTCTTTTATTGGATGTAACTGATTTTGTTAAGTGCTATATATCCTTATAAAATTATTTGTATACTATAGGATGGGGAATACTATGTGGCTGCTGAGATTCTTGGGTTAGATTTTGAGGATGGTTGGTACTACTTATCATGCCTGAAACTTGGATGTAATAAGAAACTAAAAGAACAAGAAGGATCACTCTTTTGTACTAAGTGTAAAAAGACTTGTATGATAGGTACAGTTAGATATAAAATAGTTGTTATTGCTCTTGACAAATCTGGAGATGCTCCAATGTTGCTTTGGGATAGAGAAGTGGCAGAGCTTGTGGGTATTCCTGCCTCTATTTTGTATGCAAAATACAAGGAGGTAAATTCTTATAATTGGCTCTCAACATTTTTTTCCTAAACTGTTTATATTCAATGTTTTTAATTATGTTATTTATCACCTACCTAAACAGCTTGATGTTGAAGTGCCACCTGAGTTGGATGCTATAGTTGGAATGAAGATGCTGTTTAAGATCAACTTCAAACTGGCTCAAAAGATGGGTCCCAATTACCCATTCAATGTTGTTAGGGTTGTAAGGGATGAGCACTTGCTTAAAACCTATGGTGACAGGTTTGTGGAGCATCAAGAGCAAGACTTAATCTCTAGGATGATTGAGGAGGAAACTAACACCGATGCAATTTCTGGGGTAAGAATTTGAAACCCTAAACTCTATGATTTTTTTTTATGATGGTTACTAATAGGGTTTTCTGCTTTTCTTAATAACAGGAAGACTCGATTGGAGTTGAAGTGAATAGTCCTGCCACTGTCCAGCCCTCGCAAAAGGAAGGAGAAGACAATGCTGAAAACTCTGGGGCTATTAAAAGGTCACTTTTGGATGAGTTTTCATCATCCAAAAGTAGGATGTAGTTGAATGACTCAGAAATCAAAAAGGAAAAATTGTAATTGAGATTCATGGTTGAAAGTGATTGTTGTTAGCTTGATACTATCCAGACATATTTACTGTTCTTTTCCTAATACTGTGGTGTGACACTTATTAGATTTCAGTTTTTGGGATGTTTTATAACTTTTATCTAATGTTTTGAGTGATTGCCTAACTGTTTAGTACAATACATTGGTGTATCTACTGCTATTAGAACCTGTTTTGCAGTTTTTCTAATCTTCATTTCAGGTTATTCAGAGTAAGGATGAAAGGTGTCCAAGTTTAGCAAGGATGCCAGGTGGCCAAGGTTTTCAAATGCAGACAGGATGGAAATAGTTTGGCAAGAAACTTAGACTTTGTAGTTGTATTTTTTTATAGGTTCAATTACATGTTAAACTACTACTATAAAATAGTATATATGTAAGTTACTAAGAATATTTAATCATGACACTTATTTGTAAACTAGTATTTTTTATGCGCGATGCGCAAAAAATAGGTGCCCAATATTAATACATTATATTAAAATTTTAAATTTATTTAAATTTTAGATATTTAAATTATTCTAAATAATAATAATAATAATAATGTAAATCATTTTTATAAATTTGATATTTATATTTTATGTAATAATTAACATATAACTCAAATATATAATGTGTATATATTATTATTAATGAAGAAAATAAGAAAATATATGGTGGATGCATGTGCATGGTAATAATAATGGAAAAGATAACGGAAGTTATAACGGTAGGGGTGTATTTGTCCAAAATATTTTAATGTACAACCTTTATAGCATAATGTATAAAAAAACTTAACGGAAAAAACGGACATAAATCAAGGGTATAACTTTCATTCACACTTATTATGTTTTTAGATTAGATAATATTCCAAACTTATTTGTAAATAATATTCTAATTCTAAGACTTTATATATCTAAATACATTGTGCCTAAAAAATAGAGTTAGTTCCACTTACCTATTTTCAAAATCTTCTTTTACTCTCTTTGCAACTCTCCAAAGCACCTGATGTCCAAGCTGGTATCCATCAAAATTTTCTAGCACATTTAAAAAGAAATTAGATAACAGCAACTAAATTCAATATTTGTAAAGTAATTTACATTATTGTGTTAACTAAAAAACTAAGAATCTACTTTAATTTGAAAAATAATTTGATCCTACACAAATCTGACTTCTATACTGATATAGAATAAAAGAATGCACCTGTTGAAACCCTAGGCCCGTTACAGTGGGCCCATTAGGTTATAGCTAGTTTTCAGTATAAATTATTGTAATCTGTACAGTTCTATGTCAAGAAATAGATGAAACCCTTCACACTTTCACATGGTATCAGAGCCTAAACCCTAAATATTCTCTTTCTTCCCTTCCACCGCCGTCGCCGCCGGAGCCACTCTGCCGCCGCGACTGTTTCACTGTTCCGACGTCCACCTGGTGTTTTTCTTCCAAACTAACACCACAGGGGTTACCGGACCGTCGTCGCGAGCCTACAGCAGGAATCCGGTCGCCTATCTCCGTCGCACGCGCCGCCACGCGCCGCCGCCGTCGCTGGACTGCCGCTCATTTTTCCGGCTAGATCTCTCTCCTCCGGCCTCCGATCGCGACATCGCCACCGCCGTTGGATTCGTCTCGACGAGGCGCTTCCGGGAGTGTTGACTGTTTTCCTCGCCACCGCCCGCCGCCGCCGTTCTCCGCCCACCGCTGGTCGCCGGCGGTGTTGTGGCAATCCATTGACCCTAAATTATATCTTATTTACAAGTCTTATGACACTTGTTATGATGTGTGGTATAAAGCTAAGTCATTGTATACTAATGATATCCAAAGGCTATATTCCCTTGTATCTAATATGCTTAATTTCCGTTCCACTGCTGATATGAGTACACAGGATTTCTTGGGTCGGATGGAAGCTTTACAGCAGGAGTATCATAATTTACTTCCATATCAGGAGACGTCAGAAAGTCATATGAAGCAGTATGATAAGTTCTTTATGGTGATGACCTTGGCTACCCTTCGGCCTGACCAGGTTCACATTCGTGATCAGATTCTATCCAGTCCTAGTGTGCCTACCTACACTGACGCTGCTGCCAGACTGCTTCGTATTGCCTCAACTCCCTCGATTGAACCTATTGGAGAATCATCAGTTCTAGCTACTCGGGCTGTGGATAGAGGACCTTCTGGACCATCTAATGGTGGTGGTGGTCGTCGTGGCAAACGTCCTCGGTGTGAATACTGCCACAAAGATGGTCATACCAAAGATCGTTGTTGGAAGTTACATGGTCGGCCTCCCCGTTTTATTAATCTGGTCCAGGCTGCTGCATCCGAGAGTCAGACTCATGAGCCAACCTCTACCCCAGTTGAGATGACCTCTAGGGAATATGAAGAGTATCTCCAACTTAAAGCAGCATCCCGCCTTGAATCTTCCACACCTAATGCTGGTACTTGATCTTTGGTTTGTCTTTCACACGCCAATACTCCAAATTCTTGGATATTGGACTCAGGTGCTTCAGATCATATTTCCAGTAACCTTTCTCTTTTGCATAATGTGTCTAAGTCTAAGACTTTACCCATGGTCACCTTAGCTAATGGTCATCAAACACCAGCAATTGGTGTTGGTCAGGCTTCCCCTATATCGTCTTTTTCCTTGGAGTCTGTTTTATATGTCCCTAACAGTCCCTTCAACCTTATCTCTGTGAGTAAAATTACCCGTACTCTCAATTGTTCCATAACCTTTTGTGCTGATTCGGCTGTTGTGCAGGATCGCAGTACGGGGAGGGTGATTGGCACCGGCAATGAGTCACAGGGTCTCTATTACATGCGGGGTGGTGATGTTGCTGCTTCTGCCTCTACAGAGTCTCCTTTACTTATTCATAGTCGTTTGGGTCATCCTAGTCTCTCTAAACTAAAACGAATGGTCCCAGGTCTGTCTATTGAGTCTTTTGATTGTGAGTCGTGTCATCTTGGAAAGCAATCACGTCAGTCTTTTCTGAGAAGAGTCAATAATCGGGCTGCGTCTCTCTTTGATTTAGTTCATTCAGATATATGGGGTCCTTGTCGTGTCAACTCTATTTTGGGTTTTCGTTATTTCGTAACCTTTATTGATGATTATTCAAGGTGCACTTGGGTTTTCCTTATGAAAGATTGTTCTGAATTGTTTCAGATTTTTCAAACTTTTTGTGCTGAAATACAAACCCAATTTGGCAAACTCATTCGTGTGTTGCGTAGTGATAATGCTAAAGAATATCTCTCTCATCCTTTTCAGTCATATATGACATCTCGTGGTATATTGCATCAAAGGTCATGTGTTTACACACCTCAGCAGAATGGGGTGGCTGAGCGTAAGAATAGACATCTAGTAGAAATTGCCCGTACTATGTTGTTACACTCCCATGTTCATTCCCAATTCTGGGCTGATGCTATCCTTACTGCTTGTTACCTGATCAATCGCATGCCATCTTCTGCTCTTAACAATGACACCCCATATTCCATTGTGTGTCCTTCTGTTGATCCTTTCCCTATTCAACCTCGTGTTTTTGGGTGTGTTTGTTTTGTTCATGACATGACTCCAGGTCGATCCAAATTAGATCCTAAAGCAGTCAAGTGTGTCTTTTTGGGTTATTCCCGTGTCTAAAAGGGTTATAGGTGTTATTCTCCAGCACTAAAGCGTCACTTTGTGTCCGCAGATGTCACCTTTATTGAGTCCACACCATTTTTCCAGTCCTCATCAGGAGACACGATCCCTGTCTCTGAGGTGCTCCCCGTACCTTATCTTGGTCCACTTCCTCTTGTCCAATCCACTGTTCCTCCAGCTCAACCGACTCCTCTTAACCCGCCCCTTCAGGTTTATCACCGGCGTCCTCGCCCTGCAGTTCCTGAGGTCCCTAGTGACTTGCCAGTACTGTCCGATCCTCCGGCTGCGGTTCCACCACTTCCACTGCAATCTGACACTGATCTCACTGAGGCACCTATTGCTGTTCGAAAAGGTACACGTTCTACTCGTAACCCCCATCCTATATATACCTTTCTGAGTTATCACCGTGTCTCGTCCCCTTACTTTGCATTTCTTTCTCACCTATCTTCTGTGTCTATACCCAAATCCACTCGTGAGGCTCTCTCGGATCTAGGTTGGCGTCAAGCCATGTTAACAGAAATGGAGGCCCTCTAGTCTAGTGGCACGTGGGAGTTGGTTCCTCTTCCTCCTGGTAAAACTGTGGTTGGTTGTAGATGGATTTATACGGTGAAAGTGGGCCCTGATGGCGCAATTGATTGTCTTAAGGCTCGTCTGGTGGCAAAAGGCTATACTCAGATTTTTGGTTTGGATTATATTGATACTTTTTCCCCGGTTGCTAAAATTGCTTCAGTTCGTTTACTTTTGTCTTTGGCAGCCATTCATCATTGGGACTTACACCAGCTGGATATCAAGAATGCCTTTCTTCATGGTGATCTTCACGAGGAGGTTTATATGGAGCAACCACCTGGGTTTGTTGCTCAGGGGGAGTCTGGTATGGTATGTAAACTTCGCCGTTCTTTATACGGTTTAAAGCAATCTCCACGAGCTTGGTTTTGAAGGTTTAGTTCTGTGGTGTGTGAGTTTGGTATGACAAGAAGTGCAGTTGATCATTCTGTTTTCTATCGTCATTCTAATGAGAAATGCATATACCTTGTAGTATATGTGGATGACATTGTTATTACAAGGAGTGATCAAGAGGGCATATTTCAGTTGAAGGAGTATCTCTTTAGTCGGTTCCAGACTAAGGATTTGGGTAAGCTAAAATACTTTCTTGGAATTGAAGTGGCTCAATCTAGCAGTGGTGTTGTTATTTCTCAAAGGAAGTATGCCTTGGATATCTTAGAAGAAACTGGCATGCTGGACAGTAGACCGGTTGATAATCCAATGGATCCGAATGTTAAACTCCTACCAGGACAGGGGGAGCCATTGCCTGACCGAGAGCGATATAGGAGATTAATTGGAAAACTGAATTATCTCACGATCACACGACCGGATATCTCCTTCGCAGTTAGTGTGTTGAGTCAGTTTCTTGAGACACCTTGTGATTCTCATTGGGATGCTGTTGTTCGTGTTCTAAGGTATATCAAGAGAGCACCAGGACAAGGCTTAGTATACGAAGATAGAGGACATTCACAAGTTGTTGGGTATTGTGATGCAGATTGGGCTGGTTGCCCGTTTGACAGACGCTCTACTTCAGGATATTGTATTCTCATTGGAGGTAATCTCATATCTTGGAAAAGTAAGAAGCAGGATGTGGTTGCTAGGTCCACTGCTGAAGCAGAATATCGAGCCATGGCGCTTGCCACATGTGAGCTTATGTGGCTTAAACACCTACTACAAGAATTGCAATGTGGCAATGTTGCCCAAATGACGTTGATATGTGACAATCAAGCAGCTCTACACATCGTGTCAAATCCTGTTTATCATGAGAGGACTAAACACATTGAGGTTGACTGTCACTTCATTAGAGAGAAGATTGTGTCAGGGTGTATTAAAACTAGCTTCGTTAATTCTGCAGATCAGTTAGCTGATATCTTGACGAAATCCCTTAGAGCTCCTAGAGTTGAATATATTTGTAACAAGCTGGGAGCTTATGATCTATACTCTCCAGCTTGAGGGGGAGTGTTGAAACCCTAGGCCCATTACAGTGGGCCCATTAGGTTATAGCTAGTTTTCAGTATAAATTATTGTAATCTGTACAGTTCTATGTCAAGAAATAGATGAAACCCTTCACACTTTCACAGCACCAAAGTCCAGATATCAAAGACACTAGAAATAAAAATAGATTAACTGGGTCGATACTCGAGGACCATTTGTTGAACAAAGACATTTTATTCAATGTGTCTATTATTAATAAACAAAGTTGTTGCTTCCAATAAAACACATTTAAAGAATATTATGATATATAGAAGAACATTAGACCAGTTTTAACCAAAGAGAAAAAAAAAAGTAATTTAAATTACTGTGTTAACTAAAAAAATGAGAATCTCCTTTAATTAGAAAAATAAATGAGCATACACAAATCGGACTTCTATACTGATATAGAATAAAACAATGCACCAAAGTCCAGATATCAAAGACACTAGAAATAAAAATATATGAACTGGGTCGATACTCAATGACCATTTGTTGAACAAAGACATTTTATTCAATGTATCTATTATTAATAAAACAAAGTTGTTGCTTCCAATAAAACACATTTAAAGAATATTATGATATATACAAGAACATTATACCAGTTTTAACCAAAGAGAAAAAAAAAAGTAATTAACATTACTGTGTTAACATTACTGACTTCTATACTTATATAGAACCAAACAATGCACCAAAGTCAAACAAAGTAATGGAAAACTTTTTGCATTAGTGTTATACTGATCCAGATATCAAAGAAGTAGAGGATCATTTGTTGAAAAAAGTCTTTTTTTATTCAATGTGTCTATTGCCTTACAAAGTAAAGTGAACAAACTTACAAACTATGCAAGTATATGCATACAAACTAATCTAAAGACAGGCAAATAAAGATAAAGTCTTAACCTATTTGCTTATATGACCATATTGCTTTTAGTGGTCTTTGATTGATGGGTTATTTTCTGCTTGCTGCTCTTCAATTACTCCAGAGCTTAGATTATTTCATTCTAAAAAGAATAACAGAAAAAAAATAGGTTAGAATTTGTGTTCAGAATATTTAATAACAAGACCAAGAGGAAAAGGATACATTGGCATAACAGAGAATTGAAGATTAGTAGAATCAAATAATCAATGTATGTGTTCAATGTTCTTACAACTTATCTAAACAAATTGACAACAATGAAAGTAAAAACAGATGAACTTGGTCTATACTTGAGGACCATTTGTTGAAAAAAGTCTTTTTAAATCAAAGTGTCTATTGCCTTACAAAGTAAAGTGAACAAACTTACAAATAATGCAAGTATAACAATACAAAGTCATCTAAAGTAAGGCAAATCAAGATAGAGTCTTAACCTATTTGCTGATATGACCATAGTGCTTATTTTCTGCTTGCTGCTCTTCAATTACTCCAGATCTTGGATAATTTCATTCTAAAAAGAATAAAAAAAAACAAATAAAAAGGTTAGAATTTGTGTTCAGAATAAATAATAACAACACCAGTATAGAAGAAATTTGCTAGCACATTTAGAAAGAAATTAGATAACAGCACCTAAATTCAAGATTTGTAAAGTAATTAACATTACTGTGTTAACTAAAAACTGAGAATCTCCTTTAATTAGAAAAATAATTTGATACACTAGCATAACAGAGAATTGAATAGTTTTAGAACCAAAGAATCAATGTGTGTGTTCCATGTTCTTACAAATTATCTAAAGAAATTGAAGACAATGGAATTAATGGCCTGTTAACTAAAAGTTAATCATTCGTAGGGAAAGAAACACATTCCCTAAACATTAAATATAATTGATGGACAGCTATCATTACTATTAAGAGAAAACTCTTCAGTTCCAATCCTATTTTCAAAATCAAGGCAAAAGTTAAATAAACAACAATGAACCCATCTAAAGAAAGATGCCCCATCTAACTACCAACACAGTTCTCCAGTTTCAGACCTCAGTCAAATAGACAATTCACATCTACATTTTCAAGTACACACAATAGACAGTACAATGAGGAAAATCACTAAGTCAACAATTATAGGCATCAAAAGGAAACCAAGTGAGGAAAATAAAGGTAAGTTCGAAACTTATCTTTTTCATACTTGAAATGAAGCTGCATTGTAGCATCCCTCTTGCTGTGCGATTCTGTTTATGCTCTCCATCTCCTCAAATAATTTCAGTATGTCCATAAAAAACAACATGATAAAGTCGATTAGAGGTTAGGGTTTGTGTGAATAATAATATAGCTATAGCATTTTGAACATGATATTTACACAGTTAACAGTAATTTCAATTCGGTGTTTTTAGAGCAACACTACAAAGAATACAATTTAGAACCCTAATTGCTATGAATCATACAAATCTGAAATTAAGAGATTTTATCTATGATTGTCGATATGCATGCTTAGATCCAGAAAATTAGATCAAGTTTAGAACAAACAACAGTGATAAATAGGAAACCCTAAACAAATTGACTGCAAATTTAACGCATACTAACCTTAGTAGTTGAAAATTAGCTTCACTGCATCGCGATTTCCACCATTTACTGTTGTTGAACACTACGATCTTTCACAGAAATGAAAGATCGCGATTATGTACTGAGAATCGGGGCGATGCTCATCTAGACACGACTACAATTTCTGCGGAAACAATGTTCAATAAGAACAGTTGAATCCGAGATAACGATTAAGGACTAATCTAGATTTAGGCTTGACAGAGAGAGATCGGAAGATCTTTTTGAGAGGGTGAAGAACAGATCTGTTCCGACATGCGAAGGAGAAGGGTATTCACCCTTCTTCCTCTTCTCAGAAGATTCTGACCGAACAAACATATAATATTATATTTATATATATATATATATATATATATATATATATATATATATATATATATATAATATATATAATTTTTGCGCAAATTATATTATATATATATATATATATATATATATATATATAGTCTTCATATTATTTAATTTTGAATTGTTATGTGTAATTAATTAGATATATTATTTTTTATTGTAATGGTATTTATTGTGCACACAATTTTGTGGACCATGTTATACCTAATAATTTGTTCACTAAACTGTAATCTTTGTTTATAGCAATTACAATTTCAGGTTATAGGCTAGCATAATTAGATTATCCGTTAGGTGTGTTTAGTGTCACAAAAACTACTTTCTGTAAGATTTTCCCTTATAATATATATTGATATTATATATTAGGGCCTTAATTAAGTGGTGCAAGTTGACTAGGCTTATTAAGTGGTGTGGTTGGACTTAATAACTAGTAGTTGTTAGTCAACCAAACTCTGTGCCTAATATAATCCTGTATTGATGGGATACAGGATGGTTGTTGTTAGCACATTCAGTTACGGTACTCAGACCGCTCAGTAGATTCCAATACACCATCTAGGGTTCTGAGTGAGGCAAAACATGGCTGACGGTCTACCGTTAAGAGGCAACACAACAGGAACATCAACTATGGCTGGAGATCAACACGGCTACGCTTCCGCTATCATACGAGGTTAGGTTTCTCGTATACTATGGTACATATAGTTAGACTATTGTATATCTAACACTTTCTTCATAAATGTTAGGCAAATCTTGAACAATTAGAAATTAATGTTGTACTATTCACTACTATTTTATATTATTTGAATTAATTTTTATTTTATAGAAATTAATGTTGTAATGTTAACTATGTTATGTTTTATATCACAGAAAATGAATTGGGCAACTCATCATCAAGGAATAATTCTGCTCAAGGAAAACAGCAACCTCCGGCAATAAATCCTTCCTGCATTCCTTTTGGAGGGTGTTTGTCTCAAAACATCACACCATTGAGTAACATTACTAACGGTAAATCCCCTAAGTTGAATTGATATACCTTCATTGTGATTTTAAAATCCCTTATATTTTTAATTATGGAAAAAATGTCTGTAAAATTAAATTGTATAATTATAATGTAAGTAATGGACCATACCACTTTGCATGGAATACTTTATTATTACAATAATACTTTGATTGGTATTAATGATATATACTTTCTAATTAATGGTATTTATTGTTCACAAAATTTTGTGGACCATGGTCTACCTAATAATTGGTCCACTTATTAGGTAACCCTTATTTATAGCAATTACAATTTCAAATTATAGGCTAACATAATTAATAGCGTTAGGTGTGATTAATTTATAAAATTTAAACTACTGTAATTACTGTTGTTATATAGTCTTCTAATTTTTTATTTTACATCACAGCAAATTATTTTCGCAACTCATCATTAAGGACTAATGCTGGCCAAGGTCAAGAGCAACATACGCCAACTAATCCTTCCAAAATTCCTTTGGGAGGTGGTTTGTCTCAAGATATCACACCATTTAGTAACATCAGTAACGGTAAATCCCCTAGGATTAATTGATATACATTCATTGTGAATTTAAATATCCTTATAGTTTTAATTGTTAAACGATGTTTGTTAAATTAAATGTTATAATTATAATGTAATTTATGTTTAGTATCAATTTCTAATTTTACTTTACAATAGTTAAATTTCTTTTGTTATGTGTAATTAATTGATGAGATTGTACTTAATGATATATACTTTTTCATTCTAATTCTATTTAGGGTGCACAAATTTCTGTGGACCATGGTCAACGTAATTCTATTCGATTACATATTAATGTTGTGCAATTGAGAAAATATTTACGTTATGTGTAATGAATTGTTTCGAGTTATAATTATTGGAATTATTTCTTAATTTAATGTTATATTTTATATCACAGCAAATTATTTCGGCAACTCATCTCTTACGAATAATGCTGCTCAAGCTAAAGACCAACGTACGACAACTAATCCTTCCAGATTTTCCCTTGGAGGATGTTTGTCTGAAAATATCACACCATTGAGTAACATCACTAACGGTAAATCCCCTAAGATGAATTGATATACATTCATTGTGAATTTAATTATAATGTAACTCATGGTCCATAGAACTCTGTGTGGAATTGTAATTTCACTAATTTGTCTTCATATGATTTACTTTTTAATATCAATTTCTAATTTTTCGTTACAATAGTTAAATTTCTTTTGTTATGTGTAATTAATTTGTTAGATGGTACTTATTGAAATATACTTTTTCATTATAATTCTATTTAGGGTGTACAGATTTTTGTGGACCATGGTTTACCTAAGAATTTTTTCACTAAAATATAATACTTATGCAGTGAAATTACTATTTCATATTCTAGGCTAGCATAAGTGATAATGTTAGTTGTACAAATTTTATAATAGGAATAAGGTTCAAATTGGCCACTGAACGTAACCTGAAAATGCAATTAGGCCACTGAACGAAAAAAAAAAAAGTGCAATTAGGCCACTGAACACTCCAAAAATGTGCAATTTCACCTGATAGCAGGTTACCCTCAATTTTAGCAGGTTATCTGCTTACGTGGCAGCTGAGTTGGCATTTTTAATAAATTTTAAATTATTTTTAATAAATTTTAATAATAAATTTTTATTTAAAAAATTTTTAAAAAAATAAAAACGACCTTATTTTATTTTTTATTTAATTTTTTTCAATATTTTATAAAATTTATTATTAAAATTAATTATTAAAAATTATTTAAAAATTATTAAAAATGTCAACTCAACTGCCACGTAAGCAGATAACCTGCTAAAATTGATGGTAACCTGCTATTCGGTGAAATTGCATACGTTTGGAGAGTTCAGTGGCCTAATTGCACGTTTTTTGAGTGTTCAGTGGCCTAATTGCAATTTTTGTTCGTTCAGTGGCCTAATTGCATTTTCAGGTTACGTTCAGTGGCCAATTTGAACCTTATTCCTTTATAATATTAAGACTTCTATAATTTATTTTGTTATTATGTGCTACCAACTATTTTTTTAATAGTCCCCTAAAATGTAGGGTTTAAATTAATTGTGACTTTAAATATTGTTATACTTTAAATTTGTCTAATATTACGTATGTGTACAGTACGTTCGTCCAATACACAAATAGGTGCAAGCAATTGCCAGCCATTTGTTTTTGGAGATAAATAAAATCCTGCATCGACGATAACACAAGATGAATTTGCAATGCGTAAACCATTACATAAATATGCAATTGTCGAAGACCATGTAACCACAAGAGACTTGCTATCTGCCTTTGAAGATGAATATAACCATACAATGATCGACGCCCCAAATCAGTACATAGCAGGTAATAAGATACTCTCCTGGTTTTTGAAACAACTATAAGTAAAGTACATATGTGTTATCGTCCACTTTTAAAATTGATTTTTAAATGTATTTTTAATTTTAGATGCGGATATATCGAGTAACGATGTTAGGCAGACCTCGGATATTGGGACATCCTCTGGTCCACAACATGGTATGTATATTTGTTTTATACCTGCATAAAATGTCAATCAGTATTTCATTTTGTATATATTTGGTTTTAGGTCAATACTGCGATTTTGGTGATGCAACAAATAAATGCGTCCATTGTGGGGCTTTGTTTTGGTTTGAAGAAAGGAAGAAGAATTTGTCAACAAAAGCATCGCCACTGTTTATGTTGTGTTGCAACATGGGAAGATCAAGTTGCCGGAGAATAAGTTGCCACCAAAAGGTATATTTGATCTCTTTTTCAGCAAAGACGAATTGTCAAAAGAATTTTTACACAACATTAGGACCTACAACAACATGTTCTGCTTCACATCCATGGGAGGAAAAATTGACAAAAACGTGAACAAGGGGGGCGCACCGCCAATTTTTCGATTAAGTGGTCAAAACTATCACCTAATGGGCACTCTACTTCCAGAACAAGGCAAAGAACCTCATTTTGCCCAGTTATACATATACGACACGGCAAATGAAAAGATCAACCGTATAAATGCTGTGAGGTAAACATGTTTGCGTAATTACACATTAAATACTATTTTTTATCTAAATAAATATCAATGCCAAGTTTATGTTGTTGTAGGGGTAGTGGTGAGCAAGATGACATTCATGTAGAAATAGTGAATGTCATTCAGAAAGACCTCGATGAAAATAATGTTTTGGTTAAGTCTTTTCGGATGGCTATGTCTGAGCTGGATATTAATCCATGCGCCGAAGTCAAAATAAAGTTGTTGGGAAAATGAACTAGAGATGCGAGGACATATAATCTGCCGCAAGTTTCTGAAGTAGCAACTTTAATTGTGGGAGATCTGGATACCAGTATTGGAGAGCGTGATATTATTGTTCAATCGAAGGGTGGCCACCTACTGAGGATAAGTGAATTAAATCCTTCATACTTACCACTGCAATACCCTATTTTGTTTCCATATGGCGAAGACGGTTATCGGGAAAACATTGCATTCGCGAACGTAGTAGGCAAGCACTCTTCAGGTGGTAGACAGAGGATTAGTCCCAGGGAGTTTTTTTGCTACCGCATACAGTCTAGACAGTCAGCTCCGAGTACCATATTATTTGCAAAGCGGTTGTTCCAACAGTTTGTTGTAGATGGCTACACAATGGTTGAGTCTGGAAGACTAATTTATATAAGGACACACCAAAAAAGCCTAAGGTGTGAGAGTTATAGTGGATTGACTGATGCTTTGACAAGGGGTGAATTAAGCCCTGCAGCCCAAGGTCGCAGAATAATACTACCTTCAAGTTTTACGGGTGGTGCTAGATACATGATACAAAACTACCAAGATGCAATGGCAATATGTAGGTGGATTGGATACCCAGATTTATTTATAACCTTTACATGCAATCCGAAGTGGCCTGAGGTGCAACGCTTTTTAAAAGATCAAAGGTTGAAGCCAGAAGATCGGCCGGACATAATTTGCCGGTTATTCAAGATTAAGTTGGATGCTTTGATAGCTGATTGTCGAAAGAATAAACTATTTGGCCCTGTGGCTGGAGGTAATATTTGTTATTTTATTTTAAATCAATTTTGTTACAATTTTATGTAATTACTTAACCTTATGATGTTTATGTCTATGTTGTTGCAGTCATATATACAATTGAGTTCCAGAAGCGAGGTCTTCCGCATGCTCATATATTACTTTTTTTAGAGAACAGTAAAGTAGTTAGGCAAGTTATTACTCTAGACAACATAATTTGCACAGAGATTCCAGATGAAAAGAAAGATGCAGAGTATTACCAAGCAGTAGAGGAATTTATGATGCATGGTCCATGTGGAAAAGCGAGGACCAATTCTCCATGTATGGTAAATGCGCGATGCTCTAAACATTTTCCTAAGAGATTTATTGAGAGTTTTACATTTGATGAAGATGGTTACCCGGTATATAGAAGGAGAGACAATGGCCGTGTAGTTACAAAGAACGGGATCGCCTTGGACAACAGGTATGTGGTACCGCACAATAGATATTTATTGCTCAAGTACAAGGCTCATATAAATGTCGAGTGGTGCAACCAGTCACGGTCAATCAAGTACATGTTCTAGTATGTTAACAAGGGTCATGATCGGGTAACTGCCGAATTTTACAAAACAGGCAATGATGACGAGAATGGCAAAGCAATAGATGAGATAAATATGTACTATGACTGTAGGTACATATCCCCGTGTGAAGCGGTTTGGCGTCTATTTGGTTTTGATATACAACTTCGGGCGCCTTCAGTGGAAAGGTTAAGCTTTCACCTTCCTAATCAACAGAGTGTGATATTTGCAGATGATGATGCTATTGAGAACATTGTGAATAGACCTACGATAGCACAGAGCATGTTTTTGGAATGGTTTGAAGCAAATAAAACATACCTCGATGCGAAGAACTTACTTATGTTGAGATGCCAACACGATTTGTTTAGAAGAAAGACCTTAAAAAATGGCAGCCACGAAAGAAAGGGTTCTCAATAGGACGTATATTCTATGTCCCGCCAGCTACTGGTGAAATTTTCTATTTGAGGTGTTTGCTGAACAAAATCCGTGGCCCTAAAAGTTATGAAGATATTAGGATTGTAAATGGAGAGCAATATGACTCATTCCGAGATGCGTGTTATGCAAGGGGTTTAATTGATGATGATAACGAATATGTTGATGCAATAGATGAAGCCAGTCATTGGGCATCAGCAGATCAATTGAGGAGATTGTTTGTGACATTGCTAATGAGCAGTTGCATGGGGAAACCGGAAATAGTTTGGGATGCTGTGTGGCAACATCTATCAGACGATGCACAATTCAACGTCCGTAAACAACTGCAGAACAGAGGTAATCGTACATTTTAAATAAAATATTACGTCAAGTTTAACGTAGTTGTGTTATAACACCAAATTTTAATATATATTTATGCAGATTTTGTGTTGACCGATTCGCACAAAATTAACTTTGCTTTAGTAGAGATTGAGAAGCTATTATCTAATCATGGTAAGAGTTTGAAGGACTATCCTGAAATGCCAACAGCAAATTTTGGTGCCTTAAACGTTATTGCAAATAGGTTTATTCAAGAAGAATTAGCATACGATTGTGGCGAACAGGAGAAAAAGAATCAAGAATTGGTAAGGCAGTTAACAGACGAACAAAAGGCAATATACAATGAAGTGTTAACTGACGTTGATCGCCAGGAAGGGGGGTTATTTTTCGTTTATGGTTATGGAGGGACCGGTAAGACTTTCTTGTGGCGAGCACTTTCTTCCGCATTAAGGTCTAAGAGTCAAATAGTGTTAAATGTTGCTTCTAGCGGCATAGCTTCGCTTTTATTACCTGGTGGGAGGAATGCACATTCTCGGTTTGCTATACCGATAGCTGTTAATGAAGATTCCACATGCAACATACGCAACGGCAGTGAACTGGCAGAACTGCTTGTGCAAACCAAGTTGATAATATGGGATGAAGCCCCAATGATGCATAAATTCTGCTTTGAAGCTCTTGACCGAACAATGTGGGATTTGATGCGCTTCATAAATCCAAGGAGTTCTGATATGACATTTGGTGGTAAAACAGTTGTTTTGGGGGGCGATTTCAGGCAAATTTTACCAGTCATTCCAAAGGGTACTAGGCCGGATATAGTTCGAGCAAGCATTAGCTCATCCTATCTCTGGAAATCCTGTAAAGTCCTAAGGCTTACTAAGAATCTACGTTTGAAAAGTGTTCAATCAGAAAACGAGTGCAAGGAGATCGAGGAATTTGCAAAATGGATAGCTAATATAGGTGACGGAATTATTGGGTGTCAACTTGATGGGGAGTCCGAGATTACTGTTCCAGAAGATTTGTTGTTGAAGTGCGAAGATGACCCTATTGCTACAATTGTTGATAGCACTTTCCCTAATTTCCGACTGGGACTTGTCGATTTGTCATATCTTAATCATAGTGCAATTTTAGCTCCAACATTGGATGTGGTAGATGCCGTTAACCAATACATGAATGATCATAATCCGGCTAAGAGTAAGACATACTTGAGTTGTGATTCTGTGTGTAAGTCAGATGCCAATGTTGACATGTTAGCGGATTTGCACACTCCAGAATTCTTGAATGCCTTGAGATGTTCTGGAGTACCAAATCATGCTTTGACATTGAAAGTTGGATCACCTGTTATGCTATTGCGAAATATTGATCACACACTAGGATTATGCAACGGTACAAGGTTGATTGTTACAAGGTTGGCTAACCATGTGTTGGAAGGCAAAATCATGTGCGGTACAAATGCAGGAAGCAGAGTATTGATTCCTAGGATGTCACTTACACCGTCAGATCCAAGATTGCCTTTCAAATTTCAACGAAAGCAATTTCCTTTGATGCTATCCTATGCCATGACAATCAACAAAAGTCAAGGACAAACGCTTGCTAAAGTTGGGTTGTTGTTGAAAAAACCTATCTTTAACCATGAACAACTGTACGTAGCTGTTTCAAGAGTTAGTAACCCCAGGGGTTTGAAAATTTTGATTTGCGGAGAAAGTGTACCATGTCTTAGTACGACTAAAAATGTTATGTACAAAGAAGTCTTCAATAATGTATAATAACATTCAACAATTTATTATTTAAAATTTAGTATTTTTTTTAAATACTAGGTTTCTTATTATTATTATATTATTATACGTAATATAATATGTACTATATAGGTAGCCATGCATCACATTATTTCAACAATGAAGTCTTCAACAATGTATAATAAAATTACTATATTCATCAATGTGTAATAAAATCACAACTTTTCATTTCACATTTTTTCAGGTTCAAATAACTATATTCTATACTGTATATATATCATACTATATATATAGCCGCGCATCGCGCGGGTGCACCTACTAGTCAATATAATAAAGCAGTAACTTTCTACTAAACACATTTTCCCGCTCATGATATACGGCGTCGTTTTAAGCATTTAGTTATATGTGTCGAATTAATTGTGTCCACATGACTTTTGGGTTTCCAATGTGTATTATCCGACTACTATGTTCGGATACCAAGTAAAATAAATAGAGTTCTACTAATTGAAGAGTCCTAATGATAACCTAAACCTAAATATAAATTGATTTTACATATGTACACCTACAGAGTACAGACATACAGATAGACACATACATATTTACATCTATATATCTGTATATATAGTATTAAATGCTTCGAAATAATCAACTATTGCTTGTGCTCTTGGAAAGTGAAAGGTTTCCAGCAGCTTCATGCTTCCAAGATAATATTCAAATTTCGAAATCTAATATTACAATCTATATAAACCTATGTTGATATACATATCCACTCCCAATATGTCCATCTCTTCCGTTCTAAGTACCTGATTAATAGTAAACCAGATCTAAAATCTCTGCAAATTTAACCATGTCAAGTCAGTAAATTTTTGTTAAAGCCTCTAGATATTGAAGAGCAATACGAGTGAGGTGTGTTAGAGTTTATGAAATACCTGAAAGTAGAGGCTCTACACATATCAAGAGTAGAGAATGTGTTTGGTATGCGATGAAGAGGTAAACTCATTTTGTACAATTTTTGCTCACTGTTTAATGTTCTGTCTTCCTTAGCCTAATATTTGATGCTATGATGATACCAAACTGTATTTGAATGCCTCTTATCAGGAAGTTGATGATTTCAGGTCAAAGTAAGTGTATAGAATTTCTTTTTTATCTGCAGTATATATTAGCTACACTATTCAATGTGATTTCAGACTATCTTCCTTAGCCTAATATTTGATGCTATGATGATACCAAACTGTATTTGAATGCCTCTTATCAGGAAGTTGATGATTTCAGGTCAAAGTAAGTGTATAGAATTTCTTTTTTATCTGCAGTATATATTAGCTACACTATTCAATGTGATTTCAGACTAAAGTATGGTACGGTATACACACTTAACATTTTGTAATTTATTTCAGTAGGTAAATCTGAATTTCATATTATTTGGAACTCTACATCCTTTGAAGCTGATTATTTTTGGAACTCTACAACCTTCAAACCTCTTCTATAAATCCTTCTATACACAAACAATCCACACTTTGCCATTAACCCTCTGCGTGTTTGTTCTTCTCTGCCCAGACTTTGCCATTGACACTCAGCAAAGTTCTCAAATGAGTCAAAGACTTACTGTTCCAATTTTTTGTGGACGAAGGTAACAATCTCATGTTTTTTTTTTAACAGCACAATATAGTAATAGTAATCTATTCTCATATAGTAATGGCTTACGGGTTCATTTATCATTTGGCTGTAAGTGGAAACACAGAACTACAAATAGAGGTAAAGTTCCAGGCATACCTGATTTCATTTCTTTAATTCTACTAATTCATTGTAATATTGTATTGAAAAATGCAAACCACCTCTTATTGGAATCTTCTTAACCTTTGTACGATCAAAACCTACAAAAAATTCAGTACACTGTTAGTTCCACAGATCATTAAACTACTCAAATTTGTGTGAAGCATTGACAAAAAAATCAGGTTGATTCTAATGATGGACTATTTTTTTTTCCCAAATCTATTTAGTCTTTGTGCTGAGCAGAACCCACTGAGGAGTATCAACTCCTTTTCAAGTTTAAACTATAGCCAATCAGATTTGGATTGTTCCCTGTGAGAGGATGGTTATGTGCACCATTGCCGATTTGTATGAAAGGAAGGAGGTAAAAATCACATCTTATCTTTTTATATTATAAATATGGCATCAGACTATTAAATCATCATTTGCCCCAATCAAATGATATAACAGATTAGATTGAACTTGAAAACTAAGAGTAGATGAATAACAAAAGGCAACATACCCAAATTATAAGTTGATTTTTTTTTTACTCACTGTCACAGTGTGGAGATTATTGGATCCCTGCAACAATTACAGAGATAGAAGGATATCCTGATTGGTGTTATCTATCTTGCAAGTAAAAGGTTGTAATAAAAAGCTGATCCCTAAATCTGGGCTGTTTTCATGTGAAAACTGTAGATGAATATGGGCTGCTGGGGTTTGGAGGTACAGATAGAAAGTTAGTGTGGTATATGTGAATGGGAATGCCCCATTCTTGCTATGGGACAGAGTATGTTATTTATTTAGGAATATGGCAAGATACCTAAGGAATCAAGGTTGGTTGTTAAATCCTATGTGTTTAAAATTGCTGCTAGAAATGTACAGTTTGAGAATCAGTTAAATGATTTTCTTGTGCTCAAACTTGAGAAGGGTAATGCACTACTTGCAATCCACTGTCCAGAATTGCCCTGACTCACAAAGCAATCATTTGAGTTCCAAAGTTCTAAAGCCAGAAGATTACAGTGACAATGATGATCTTAGTTTCTTGATTACATCTGACTTTGAATTTTATCTCAAATTTTCAGACTTAACCACACAAAAAAAAACAATCTTATTTGGAATCTAGGGTTTCTGGCTAACTGGTTAGGATGAGGCTGAAAGTCCCTTGACTAATGGAAACACAATGAAGGAATGGAGTGGTGATGGCATGGTACAGTCAAAAAGTGTCTCTTGGATGAATTCTCACCTAAAATTCACTTATAAGTACACTAACCAAAAATACCTATCAAACATGACTGAATTTTTCAACTATACCAATATTAAACTTAGAGAGTTTTTTTTTTTTTTTAAAAAAAAAAAAAAAAAACTAAATAAAGGAACAAAAAAATAAGCTTGCTGCTAAGATTTAGAAAACCAAAAAAAACATTTCAAAAATGTGTTCAAAGCAATATAATAGAGCTTCACAAGTAGTTAAAAACTAAATAAGTTTTTATTATACATGGAATAAGGTACAGTTGAAGCATACCTGTTTTTCTTGATTGAAATTGTAACAAATACTGACTTATTCATTTACAATATTCATCTGGTTTGCTTTACATTTGTGTGGCATATCTGTATCAATTCTGCTCACATACAGACATAGTGACATATATAAGTAAATTAAAAGGAGACATATATGGACATGTAAACAGAGTATTTGAATGAATAATAACAGAACATTACCATTGAAATTTGATGTTCGCTGTATGTATCTTCTTTTTTTTTTTTGTGGGTGTATCCAGACAGTGTAATACCACCACTCTCCTATATTGCCATATTTTTTACTGTACATCTGCATACAAATAAAAGACATTATAATCTGCTTTTTAACTATGATATTGTAATTTTTGAGGTAATTAAAAAATAAATTTGAAATCACTGGAAAGCTAATTTTTTACATATTCTGTTAATTTTTTGTTGATAAGACATTTATGGAAAAAATTATTTACTCTAAAGAAATGCAGTGTTTGTACTCTATCACATTGTATTTTTTTGTTAACCTAATTAAACTTCATGTGAAAATACTCTATTGACACTATTTACATTTGGGAAAACAAACTTATATTATTGTGCATATTTCTTGTGCATATTTCAAATGTATTATTTCTTATACCTTTTTATCTAAATTTTATTATGGGATAGGGAGGTTTTTGAGTTAGTTGGAGTCCCAGCAATTCTGCTTTACATTTCTGTGCCATATCGATCTGCATCAATTCTGCTCACATACAGACACAGAGCGACATATATAAGTAAATTAATATTAAGGGAGTTACATCTATGGACATGTAAAGAGAGTATTTGAACAAATAATAACCGAACATTACCATTGAAATTTCCTGTTCACTGTATGTATCTTCTTTTTTGTGGGTCTATCCGGACAGTGTAATTCCACCACTCTGTGTAATTCCATATTTTTTATGGGTCATCTGCATACGAATAATAGACATCTGCATTTTAACTATCATATTGTAATTTTTTAGGTAATTAAAAAATAAAATTGGAATCACTGGAAATCCAATTTTTTGTATCTTCTGTTAATTTTTTGTTGTTAAAACATTTATTGAAAAAATATTTTAAAAACAGTTTCATATAATAGTATTGTTAAATATTACGGAGTATTTAAATTTATCTGTTAAATGTGATGAACTCAAATTTATTGCAAACATTTAAGTAAACCAAGTTGTAAGTTTTCATGGAATGTCAATCGAATAAACTCTAACAAAAATGCCATAAGTTCAACAAATGACAGGCTCACTATGTACAGTATCATTCATATTCATAATTTTTTTCCACAATATGCATGCATATAACAAATTTGATATAAAAAAGACACATTTTAAATAGAACATTGAACAAAACATAGCTTTTAAGAAAACTAATCATTCGCACCTAAGTATTAGTTCATATACTCATCATTTTTACAAATCAAAATTACTGCATGTTTATAATCTTCGTAAAATTGAAAAATAGATATTTGTATACAAAACAATATACATTAATAACTCTAATTAAAATCAGTAAAATCTAAGTTTTTACCTTATAGATGTTGTAGTTCCTGTTGGTTGATTTCTTTCAGATCTGTCATCTCAAATTTTGCCTCAAACCATTTCTTGAGTGGTGTCACTACCTTATATGTGGTCAACTTTCCAGAATTGTTTGAGAGAAGAAATAGGTAGCGTCAGGGTTTTGTTCGGTCTAATCAGTCAGGAGTTGTGATCGCGAGTACATAGTAGGGTAGAGATAATGTTTTACACATGGAAATGGCGAGAAAATGTGATCGAGCTTGAAGGAGAAGGGTTATACAACACTGGCAATGTGTGTTGTGAACTTTCCAGAAGCGGTAGACAGAGTGTAGAGAGAATATGTGCAGGCGAGAACAAAGGAGAGCTGCAAGATTGTCCAAGTATTCTATGTTTTAGGGTTTTTATGTGTGGGCTTGGGTTTTGGTTTGGGCCTATGGTTTTACTGTGGATTGGTAACATATTTGGCCTGCTCATTATTATGTGTATATATATATATATACCGATTTCTTTATATATACATATATATTTATTTATACTTATATATGGATATAATTTGAAATTATTTTGGTTTTTTTTTTTGGGTCATATACATAAAATGTATACACATTGATATGTGTTTATGTTAGGTCAAAATTTGTGGTTTGTTACTTATTTAATTCATGATTCACGATATTGTATATCAAATTATAATATTGTATTAATTTTAAAAAATTATGTTCGTTTTATATTGAAAATGTTACTTCGAAATTCTATCTTATTTTAATTATATCATTTAATGATTTTTATTTATATTGAAATGAAGTAGAAAATATTGATGACAAATAGCATTGTATTGTTCGTTATGAGGATCGTGGTGTGAATGAATGGCATTTCCAGAGAAACATTTCTTGGAGTTTTGGCACCTTCGTTATGTAGAATGTTGCATATTCATAATAATGATACCTACAATTAGAATGTATATTAGATTTAATATATGTTTTCCCTGGTGTTATATAATATAATTATGTAGGCTTGGTTTTGTAGATATTTTTTTTTTATTCAACTTCATAATCAAACCTTATTGATGAATATTTCATGTAAATTTTGAATATTTTTTTCACAATTTTTTTTGATTTTTTTATTCAACTTCACATGAACCTTTTTATGTTTTACAAATTAATCAGCAATAATAATAATATAAAAATAAATAAAAACGTTTATTATTATTGTTAATAATAATAGAATAATGGAACAAGTATTATTAATAATAATCATATGAATAATAATAATAATTTAAAATAAAAGTTAGAATATTAAAAACAATTATTTCTATTAATAATAATCATATCAATAATAATAATTATAAAAAAATATTTAAAACAATTATTTCTATTAAGGTGAAGCCAAATAATTATTATTATGGTTCACACACTTTTGTGGACCATTGTCCATGTAATAATGGTTGTTATTTAATAGAGGTAGATTATTAATTTTAATTGATGTTTATATATATATATATATATATATATATATATATATATATATATATATATATATAGGGCCAGGTTCCTGTGAGAACATGTATTCCCGTGCGGTCAGTGCGGCATACACCATTAGGTATGCATAAATGGATTACACAGTGTTCGAAAATACATCATTATGTGAGTTCTTTTTTTTTTTTTTGTGTGTGGTGCATTTTTTGGCATTTCATTTTGGTGTATTCTCATGTATATATATATATATATATATATATATATATATATATATATATATATATATATATATATATATATATATATATATATATGGGCCAGGTTCCTGTGAGAACATGTATTCCCGTGCGGTCAGTGCAGCATACACCATTAGGTATGCATAAATGGACCACATAGTGTTCGAAAATACACCATTATGTGAGTTCTTTTTTTTTTTTTTTTTTTTTGTGGTGCATTGTTTGGCATTTCATTCTGGTGTATTCTCGAACATTGAATGGTGCATTTATGCATACCTAATGGTGTATGCCGCACTGACCGCAAAGGAAGACATGTTCTCACAGGAACCAAAATCTATATATATGTATGTATGTATGTATGTATATTATATATATTATAATAATAATTATTTTGTTTATGGAACGCCGATAAATTATATTTTGTCTATTTATTACATCTAAAACCTTATTGGTCCTAAATATTCAATATAACAATCTTTTATATATTGCACCAGAATATTATGGCCGTGCATCGCACGGGTGCAAATACTAGTAAAATAATATAATATAGGGTAAATAAGAAAAATCATTAAAGAATACTAATATCAAAATAATATGAACCATTAATCTATACTATATATAAAAACAAAATCCTGAAATTTTAACTTCCCCCCATTCCTAAAAAATCTCTCCTCCTAATAAAATAATATTGATTTCTACTTTCCCATTCGTACAATAATTCTGCGTTAAAATTCTATTCTCATATTATTATAAAATACTGTAATACAATCTATACAATCTATACTATATATAAAAACAAAATCCTGAAATTTTAACTTTCCTGCCCAATCCCTAAAAAATCTCTCCTCCTAATAAAATAATATTGATTTCTACTTTCCCATTCGTACAATAATTCTGCGTTAAAAATCTATTCTCATATTATTATTAAATACTGTAATACAATCTATCTATACTATATATAAAAACAAAATCCTGAAATTTTAACTTCCCGCTCAATTCCTAAAAAATCTCTCCTCATAATAAAATATATTAATTTCTACTTTCCCATTCGTACAATAATTCTGCGTTACAATTCTATTCTCATATTATTATAAAATACTGTAATACAATCTATACTATATATAAAAACAAAATCCTGAAATTTTAACTTCCCGCCCAATTCCTAAAAAATCTCTCCTCCTAATAACTTTTGACTTTTGACACTAAGTTGTAAAGTGTCAAAAGTTCGGCAAGGCATAACTTTTGACTTCGTTGTCCGTTTTAGACAAATGTTTTTTTTAAATCGCGTATTTTTTCGAGATCTATCCACCGCAAACCGCCGTAGGCGGTTTGGCCCACCAATTTCTAAAAAAAAAATACTTTATTAAAGAGTTTCTAAGAAAAAACTATGAGAACCTTATGTTTTATTAATGAATTTTTAAAATTTTTAATTAAACAATTGTCCCGTGCATTATTTAATAATCTTTCTTTATAATTGGTCAAATTATTTAATTATGGTAAATTTGGGAATAATTAATGATGGTAATAGAAATCCTAGAAGAATATAGAATTGAACAATATTTAATTATTGTTATATTATTATTGTGACTCACGGAATACACGAGTTAATGCCATTTTTGGTCCTAGACTTATTGGGGCATTGACATTTTTCATCCTCCATAATAAAAATTGCCACTTAGTAGCCACTGTTATTGATTGTTGGACAGTGTTGATCCTCCGTCAATGACGCCGTTTGTTGACCGTGAATTAGAAGGGTTTTTCTGTCTTTTTATGTTCTAATCCTTGTATTTCTCCATCCATTGGTCACTGCTACATCCATTTCTTCAAACTGAGGTTATCCGCTTCAGTCTTTTCTAACATTAAGAAACCATCTTCACCCAACAAACAATCACGAATTTTACATTTGACATCAATCTCAAGATAATAGAAACAAGTGCAGTTGGAATAGAAAGGGTGTTAGTCCATGCCTGTGGAAATTTTGTCGAGCATACAACATAACTAGCAAAGTCAGGAATATCACCCAACCCCTCCCTTAACCTTTCTGCATCAACTATAATAGGTATGCCCCTACTCTTTGCCTCCTGCACTATAATCAAAGCAGTCTCATGCAGCCTTCCATCTAAGTAGACAATATTTACTCCAAGCGCTGAAGACAATTTTGATTTGGGTATGTAGACCCTCAGATATCATGGGTGGATATCTTGGAGTGAAAATGCACGTGCGAGTTTTTTTTTTTTTTTTTTTTTGGTTGTCAACAATGACATATGTGAATGGTGAGTTTCATCATTTGGACACCACCATAAAAGATGTATCAACACCATCCCTTTCAAGCTCATCAAGTATTCTTTCGCCATGCGAGTCATCAGCAACCTTAGATATGATCCTTGGGTTAAGACCAAGACGAATTTTATCATCCGGGTTTTATCAAAGCATTGTCAGTGTTACCACCTCCTTGAACCTCAAAGCTGGTGCTCCGAATTTTATCATCCGGGTTGGGGAATGAAGCTACAGCAGCCAGGAAGTCAACACCGGCCATTCCAACACCTCAGACAATGCGATTTTTGGGGAGCTGCGGATTCCACATTTTCAGCTTGAAACTTCAATGAATTTCAGGTAGAATAACAGAGTTTTTGAGGTTGTGCACCAAGTAGTTGTGGTCAGAGAGAGAGAGAGATGGGAAGGATATTTGTGGTCAATATGGAAGGGAGGACTTACAGGTGCAAATTCTACATCACGCCATCTACAACTACAACTGCTATTTACCATAGGAGGGTTCGCCGACCTGCTGCCCTCTCTGTTTCGCCGGAACCAAAAACCACCGGTGAAGGCCCCAACCTCGCCGGATCTGTTGCTGCACCGCTAGATCTGCCTTACTGGTCCGTCGCCGGAAGGAGTTACTGCCTCGTATGCTCGCTGTCGTACCCACAACTCGCCGGAGAAGAACCTCGCTGCTACTCACTACCGACGGTTACTACTTAGCCGCCAAGTCTCGCCATCTCGCCTCACAGGAGTCACAGCAACGCTGGTCTAAACAAGATTAGAAGAATAAGACATAAAAAGACAGAAAAGCCATCTAATTCACGGTCAACAAACGGCTTCATTGACGGAGGATCAAAACTGTCCAACGACCAATAACAGTGTCTACTAAGTGGCAATTTTTATTATGGAGGATGAAAAGTGTCAATGCTTCAATAAGTCTAGGACCAAAAATGGCATTAACTCCGGAATACAATACAAAAATATTTAATTATGGTTATATTATTATTGTGCCTCACGACCATTATATACTAACAGTACTTGAAAAGAAACTAATAATAATAATAATAATAATAATAATATAATAATAATATAAGTGGTAATAATAATATCTAAAAGTAATGAAGTGTTAATAATAATAGTAAGAATATTAACGTAAGAGTTGTAACATAGAATAAATCGTAATAATTAATAACTATAATCTATGATTAAATTTGGAATTTTCAGGAAAAATAAACGACCTCTGGTGAAATTAACTCTTAAATAATTATATATCGATTTAAATATTCTTAATATATTACAACAATTCCATTCCGTGCATCGCACGGGTGAAAATACTAGTTTTAAAAAAAAAACTACTACCGATATTTTTTTGTTCCAGTTAAGGGC